GCGGTATGTTTGGGGTCGTTATCATGTTGGAAAACTGCCGTTCGGCCCAGTTTCTGAAGGGAGGGCATCATGTTCTGCTTCAGAATGTCACAGTACATGCTAGAATCCATGTTTCCCTCAATGAACTGCAGCTCCCCAGTACCAGCAGCACTCATGCAGCCCCAGACCATGATGCTACCACCACCATGCTTGACTGTAGGCAAGACACATTTTCCTTGGTACTCTTCACTAGGGCGTCGCCACACATGCTGGACACCATCTGAGCCAAACAAGTTTATCTTAGTCTCATCAGACCACAGGACATGGTTCCAGTAATTCATGCTCTTGGACAGGTTGTCTTCAGCAAACTGTTTGCGGGCTTTCTTGTGCGCCAGCTTTAGAAGAGGCTTTCTTCTGGGATGACGGCCATGTTAACCGACTTGTTGCAGTGTGCGGTGTATGTTTGAGCAATGCTGGCAGCACTCATGAGTCTGTTTTTTGAAGACAGCTTCTGTACCTGACGCACAGCACGAGGACTCAACTTCTTTGATCGACCCTTGCGAGGCCTGTTCCGGGTGGAACTCGTCTTAGAAAACCTCTTTATGACCCTGGCCACTGTACTGCAACTCAGTTTAATGGTGTTACAGATCTTCTTATAGCCTAGGCCATCTTTGTGGAGAGCAACAATTCTAATTCTCAAATCCTCAGAGAGTTCTTTGCCATGAGGTGCCATGTTGAACATCCAGTGGTCAGTATGAGAGAATTGTACTCAAAGCACCAAATTTTAACTGCTCTAATACAAGATACACAAATTTGTATGGTCCTGTCAAGCAGACAAAAACATGAATATGATGAATAGGACATGTGGCTTTGCATGGTTAAACGACATACAGCTGTTATCACTTAGGGTGTACTCATTTTTGTTGCCAGCTATTTTGACAATAATGGCTGCATGCTGAGTTATTTTCAGAGGACAGTAAATCTGTATTGCTATACAAGCAGCACATTGACTACTCCATGGATTATATCCAAGTTTAATTTCTATAGTATTGTCCCTTGAGAAGATATACTAAAATGTTTGCTGAAAAATGAGGGGTGTACTCACTTTTGTGAGATACTGTAATAGTGAAGTTTTATTAATTGTGAAGAAAAAAACACACACACACACACACACACACACACACATATATATATATATTCGCCAGGGAATGCATGTACTAATAAATTGTTCTAAATGCAAATGAGAATTAATATTATTAAATGTATATTATTCAAATATTTTATTTTTGTAATATGGTGTAAAACTGTCCAAAAGTCACCAATGAAACTATGAATTTTTTTGGAATAATTAAGATTTTTGAAAAAAGTCTAAATGCTGCATTTATTGATCAAATATACAATAAAAACAGCAACATTTTAAAATATTATTAGAATTTAGAATAACTGTTTTCTTTTTGAATATATTTTCAAATGTAATTTATTTCTGTGATGCAAAACCAAATTTTCAGCAGCCATTATTCTAAAACAGCTTTTCCTGCTTAATATTTTTGTGGAAACTATAATACTGTACCATTCAAAAGTTTGGGTTAGGTACGATTTATTAAAACAAAAAAGAATTTACTTTTATTCATAAAGGATGCATTAAATTGATCGTAAGTGACAGCTATTTTAAATTGTAACAATATTTCAAATGACATATATAGACTTTTTCTGTAAAGTTGCATGTGCACTACAATGATAAAATACAATAAAAAAATAGCAATGTAGCGTTTTGTCATTTGAAAAAGTTGCTTATTTTCAGAAAAGCTACTTTTAGCTGAGCTAATGTCACTCTGCTGAAAAAAAGGTAAAGTTAACAGCGTTGCTACTTTTAGTTCGTTACTCCCAGAACTGTTTTGCATGACTGTCTAGACAAGACTTGCATCTAATTGGTGAACTGACATGTTGTAATATAATACAGGAACCGCCAGCGTGAATCTGAAGGGCTGCATTGCACATGAAGAATCCAGACTGGAATATTCTATACTGAGGAGTGATACTTTATCATGGGATAAACAAATGGCAATGCGGCGGGCTGTGAGCAAATCAATGTAATTGATTGTTTGCAGCTTGGTGAAATCCTCAACGCACTTCATACATGTATAATTTATCGCATCAAATAAACCCACATCCCCGCGGTGCCTTTGTTATAACAAAATTGTATTGCGTTTTTATATTGGCCAACAAATACAGTGTCAATTATCATCTAATTAATCTTTCTAATAAGGCTTTGGTTAAGCACCAACAGCCACATCATTTTACAAGCCTCCTGATGCTGTATATAGATCATTTAGCCTGAGATTAGTATAATTCAGAGGCCAGGATTACAGTCATGCAGGGTGTTATTGATCCGGAGCTCTGAGCTGAGTCGATGGAGGACAGCACAGACATTTTCTTGTTTTGTGCAGCGAGATGTTCCGTTCTTTCAGGAGAGAGGGCCGCTGGACTGGGCCGGTCGATAGCAGCAGAGCTAACTCGACTGTTACCAGCACTAATGCATAAACAGAGGATTACAGGAGCTGTCTGATCTGGCTGTAGTACAAAGGATGGACACTATTGACAAGATGTGCATTACTGGGAAATGTTTTATGGCTGAGTTACTTGCGTAACTTGATTTACTCAAGTACGATGTGTTCCTGAGTCAACATGTTTGTTAGTTCTGAAACAACATTCATATCAGCCAATCAGATTTTAGGCTTCTGCTTGGACTACTCTGATACTTTGATACTTTCTTCACTACTCTGATACCTTTCCAGTTCTTTATTATATTCCTATTGAAATTCAATATCAATAATTTATGCATTTAAATTTAGATAGGTAAAGTTTGTCAAGACATTGATATTCTATTCATTAAGACATAATATTTCAATAATAATCCATTTATATTTCTTATAACAATTCGTTTTTTGTTATATATATATATATATTATGGCATGGGTTTTGACAAAAATTTCACAATTCGATTCGATTCAATATCTATTATTTTGGATGCATATCTGGTACAGTACATGCCACATTTTCTCAAGGAAAAAAAACTCTCAACTAATGCTGTAAAATATACATGAGCGTCAGGTAGTTGGTACTGCATTATAATATTGAAGGTTAAAATTGAATGATTTGTGCTGTACAACTGCTTAAATTGCACTGGAGGTTTTATAATAATTAAGTTACAATTACTTCAGTTATTTCAATATATATATATATATATACAAAAAGAGAATACATATCTCCTCAAAGAGAGTGGCTGTCATAAAAACTTGGACGGATTTATTCAAACATAAATTAAACATTAAAGAACGTAAGAAATTATAATGAATGTTATATGGTGCATATATTTAGCAAAATGCCCTTCTCTACAGTTTATTTTTCTGGCTGACTAACGAGTTTATGGTCACCGAATATGCTTTCTGAGGTAAATGTGACGTTACGTGACACATATAAATATATATATACATGTGTGTGTGTGTGTGTGTGTGTGTATATA